TGGATACGCATTGAGCAGATATGTATGTACGTGAGAGAATCATGGAAGATTGTAGTTTCAAAGCAGTAAAATCGACGTTGTCTGTACCATGTCCTCATGGATTTCCTTTGGTACCATACCTTTCTTTTACAGATACTTTATGACTGCTCGGGACTCTGTTTTCTTCACTTTTTAGATTTGCCGAACACCTCTCACCTTTGTATGGGCCTCAACCTGCATAAAATTTAAGACAAAAATCTGAATTAGTTTTTCTTGGTTTATAAGGAGTAGTTGCTGTCATAGCAAAAATATTCAGCTATGGCTCTTCTTTCTGGATGACACTTAGAACTTTTTAATGACCCTCGTATTCGACATTACTTGATCGGCATGTCAGATCTAATATACATACATACATACATACATACAAATACACTGCATTTATTTCGTCTTGGAGTTTACCTGGAATTGGAAAAATTAAGCCCTGAGAATGAAAATATAAAATTTTCGAAAATATTTTCGGCCTGGCAACATCTTACAACAACTTAAACATAATGATCGCGGTATTCAATGAATCATTACTAAGTTAATGCCTTATTAAGTCTTGTTAGCGAAGAGATTTCGCCATTAATTACACTACCATTGCTAATTAATTATTTGTATAATTACCTCTTTATGATATAATATATATACTGCAAATTTATATATATATATATATATATATATATATATATATATATATATATATATATATATTACAACATATACATTTTTAGATAACAAGAGCAATATTGTAGAAAAAAAATTGTTTTTGCGTGACGCGTTTCACCCGATGAAGTTCTAAAGAACTAAAACTTTTTACACTTATCATTTTTTTCCAATATTTCTCTTGTTATCTAAAAATGTGTATGTCGTTAGTTCACATATATATATATATATAAATGCACACACACACACACACACATATATATATATATATATATATATATATATACAGTGTTACCCGGATATAAGAGCGGAGAAGAAGTCTCTTATATCAGGGTTTCTCTTATATCCGGGTTTGGTCTATTTTATATACATTAACACAGGCTGTAATTTGGGACCAGAAAAATCTCTCTTATATCCGGGTTTCTCTTATATCCGGGTCTCTTATATCCGGGTTACACTATATATATATATATATATATATATATATGTGTGTGTGTGTGTGTGTGTGTGTGTGTAAAATGTAATATATATATATATATGTGTGTGTGTGTGTAAAATGTAAAATTCCACTTTATATATATATATATATATATATATATATATATATGTGTGTGTGTGTGTGTGTGTGTGTGTGTGTAAAATGTAATATATATGTGTGTGTGTGTGTGTGTAAAATGTAATATATATATGTGTGTGTGTGTAAAATTCCACTTTATATATATGTGTGTAAAATTCCACTTTATATACATACATATATATATATATATAAAGTATTTCAACGAAGAGTTTCTAACAGAATGCACTGGACGGCCGTTGCATCCTATTTTGAACTCATTAGCAGTGCGCACCCACTACCAAGAATCGAACCCGGACCATTGTCGATACGACGCAAACGTCATACCAAGTGTACCAGTACCCCGGTAACGATGAAGACCCAAACTAGATTTGATATAGCGCTGCTACTCACTCAAGTCCGCAGTTATACTCATCCAAGTCTGCGGATAACCTTGGAACAGTGCCCCAAGAGTCAAGTCTTCTTTCTTTCATTTTTTATAAGGTTATCCGCATACTTGGATGAGTATCACGACGGAACTGAGAGAGTAGCGGCCCTATATCGAGTATCGTGATAGGATGAACGTGGGTCGGAGACTTGTCAAATGAATAAACACTGATAAGTGATAGAAAGTTGTGGAGAGTCATGATCGCACAGGTCCTAAAATGACAGGGCACGTAGAATTGGAAGAAGAGAGAAAAATATTCGAAAGGCGGAAAAATCGATGTGGCCTTACGCACATATCACGTTAAAACACCGATTCTCGTACGGTCAACGAAGTTAAGCAAGGGTCAAATATTGATTAACTATATTGGAATGTCTTTTAGATTTATTTACATTTTATGGAATATATATATATATATGTGAGGGATCACTTTATATACTGATTATAATATAGAATTGATCCCCCATTTTCTTATTTGTTTATCAAATTCTGATTAGGTATAAATCTATTTATTCTCCCCGCAGCTATGTGTTAATTAGTAAGATTTGTATCACGAAAGCTTTATTATCTCCCCGACCAAAAAAATAATAATTCTTATAATTTAAAAATATTTTCTGCCTTTAAATAACCTGCAAAAGGTTGATAAACCGTAGAAAACGAATCAATCAGTCAATGAAATACTCATTAGCTACACAGGCATGGCTTTTACATTTATTTACATTCTCTAGAATATAAATGTATAGAAACTATCATGGCCACAAATTGAGGGATCAGTTTATATATTGGGTTTAATGTATAATTGATCCCCCACTTTATTTCTACATTATAATTTCTTGTTTGCTGATAAGCTGTAGAAAACTCATTAATCAATGAATGAAATACTGATTAGCTTAACAGGCATGTCTTTTACATATTTAGGTATATACATGTATAGAAACTACCATGGCCACAAAGTGAGGGATCAGCTTATATATTGACTGTAATAAAGAATTCATCACCCACTTTATCACCACATTATAATTTCTTGTTTGTCTACCCACCGGTTCCCGTATGATCACCGAAGTTAAGCAACGTCAACCCTGGTCATTAGCTAGATGAGTAACCGATTGGAAATACCAGGTGTTGATCCCCCACTTTATATCGGAGCGTGACGCACACCTTTTGTTGAAAGGTAAGCAGATAATGCTGTATTAATATAGATTAAATCTAAAATCTTGGATGTGCAGGTGGTGTAATAGATAATGGCTCGGAATTGTTAATCGGAGAGCCGAGTTCCAATTCCAGTTGGGTTCGTTATCTTCAGTTACGCACAAATATCCTTGAGAAAGCCAGGAATTCACCGCCTCTTCCCCCAGCTATGGGTTCATTAGTAAAACTTGCATCACCAAGCCATTATCTCAAAAGAAATTTCTCAACGTCTTAAAAATTTCCAATACCTCATCTCAGAGACATAGACATATCCTGAAGAAGTCCGAAGCGTACAACGGCCGAAAAGTCGTGGGTATGACAATAAAAATGAGGACAACAGTAAATAGTATAAATAGTTACAATACCTTATCTCAGAAATATAAACACATCCTGAAGAAGTCCGAAGCGTACAACGGCCGAAACGTCGTGGGTATGATAATAAAAATGAGGGCAACAGTAAATAATGTAAATAGTTACAATAACTGATCTCAGAAATATAAACACATCCTGAAGAAGGCTGAAGCATACAACGGCCGAAAAGTCGTGGGTATGATAATAAAAATGAGGGCAACAGTAAATAATGTAAATAGTTACAATAACTGATCTCAGAAATATAGACAGATCCTGAAGAAGGCCGAAGCGTACAACGGTCGAAACGTCGTGGGTATGATAATAAAAATGAGGACAACAGTAAATAGTGTAAAGAGTTACAATACCTCATCTCCGAAATATAGACAGAGATTGGTAATAGTTTATTCTTTACAGAGCGTGACGCACACCTTTTGTTGAAAGGTAAGCAGATAATGCTGTATTAATATAGATTAGATCTAAAATCCTACTAACACAATGGTGTCTATATAAGTATTATCTCGATGTCTGTATTTCTCTTGGGTTTTTTTATAGTAAATCGGTTAATTATTACCAAATATTTAATATCAAGTGAATATGCTCATAGATAGCAGTCATTGACGCGGAAAGAGGGGCTGGCATAAACGTCAATTGCAGTCGATTTCGCACAAATAACCTTAGGAAAGGTATGAACCCCTCTCATCCCCTCTCTAACAACCCAAGTGGGGATTAGTGGTAAGGTATACTCGGGTTTCTAGCATTCACCCACTATCAGTCTAAGGAGAGAGAGACAACTGTAAATCCAAACACCAGTTGGGTATGGGGTTAGTAACGCCACTGCGTAAAAAAATGAAAAGTAATGAAACGCGAAACTAGACAGTGTTCCACCGTTGTCTGTAAACATAGCAACTACAATTAAATGTTCACTTATCTTTCCCTATTTGGAGTTTCATGTGATTGCATCGGGGTGGCGGGGGGGTGTAAATTTTTACTATATATCATTGGACACTTACGCGTAAATACCTTTGGAGAAGGTATGAATCCAACTCTCCCCCCCAGCTATGGATTAATTAGTAAGACTTTCATCACTAAATCATTATTATAAACAACCCTACGCCGCAAAAAACTTCTTACAAACTAAAATATTTTCTGGTTTTAGATAATTTGCCGTAGAAGATGAATCAACCCTTAATTACCTATATATATATATATATATATATATATATATATATATATATATATATATATAGAGGTAATTAAGTAATTACTGAATATATATATATATATATATGGGTAATTAAGGGTTGATTCATCTACCTGAAATTATGATATATATATATATATATATATATATATATATGTGTGTGTGTGTGTGTGTAATTAAAGGTTAAGTCATCTTCTACGGGAAATTATGTATTTATTATAACAGAGCAAATATATTTTTTTATAGTAAAAAAAAAATTACCTCAACATGGAGATTGTCTATTTCAAGCTGTTCTTTACATGACTATCAACAGCCCTAAGTTTTTTGTTTTTTTTGCTATATATATATATATATATATATATATATATATATATATATATATATATATATATATATATATAACACACACACACACACATATGTGTGTGTATATATATATATATACACACACACATATGTGTGTATATACATATATATATATATAACACACACATATATGTGTGTATATATATATATATATATATATATATATAACACACACATATATATATATATATATATATATATATATATATATATATATATATATATATATATATATAAAAAAAGAAAGAAGAATAGAGGTGCCGCAAACGTTTTTTAGTTGTAATGTGGATTTTTTTAGAAAAAAATATTATGATGGAAAACAAAGCATAATATTTTTTTTCTAAATAAATCCACATTACAAACAAAAAACGTTTGCACCTCTCTTCTTTTTAATATACATACTTTTTCTCGTTGGAACCACTACATTATATTTCTTTTATATATATATATATATATACTTAAAAGAAAGTCTACGTATGCTTCATAGAGTTTATGAAGTAGACTATATAAGTTGGTCAATAAAACAAATTCAAGCGAAAGGGTACCGATGAAATTAGTACGAAAAACACTAATTAATATTAACCAGGTGGTACATTTTTGTCATCTGGTTAATATTAATAAATATTTTCCGTCCTGATTTCATCAGTATCCTTTCGTTTTACCATCTTATATACTCTACTATATATATATATATATATATATATATATATATATATATATATATATATATATATATACAGGGTGTTCACAAAGTTACTGTGAAGTTTTCTAATCATATTTTTTTATATTTCAGATTTCACAACAATATGGTTTTAACAACTGAAGAATGCGTATTTCTTGTCGAACACGTATTTCGAAAGTGTGGTAAATACACAGATTTGCTGCGACAGCTGGGAAATTTTCAGATAAACCTGTTCCACATGGTAATGTAGCTGGTAACCATGCTGATAAATTTCAGGAAACAGGATCAGTGGACGATGCCGAACGTTGTGGAAGGCCAGCAAAGCTATCGGAGGAGAAAATGTTCCATATTTCCAGACAATATGCGGCAGAATCCAAGAAAATTCTTACGAAAATTAACACAGATATTGGTCTTGGAAATTCTCATAAGGCCGACAGACAAATATTAAAAATCTTCCCATACAAAATAATGGCGACACAACAACGGAAAACAGTAGATGATGAAAAACGACAGAAAAAAAAAGAGGAATCCAAGTCTCTATTGACGCAAACGGACGTCACCTTCGACATTTTTATAATTTTCATTCATATTCTCCTCCTGTATTCCATATCGAAATATGTCCGTTAATAAAAATGTAAGTGCATATTCCAAACTCCATATATATACTCACACACACATATATATATATATATATATATATATATATATATATATATATATATATATATATATATATATTCCTATATTATATTCCCTCTTTTCTTTTAATTTTAAATTAAAATTTCATTCTTCTTATAAGCCCAAATTAATATCATGAGGTTAATATTCGGCTTTAAATTTATAAAACTTCTTCTCCTTAAGACAAATTATAAATACCATCCACCCTTCCCTGATCACTAACTCGTGCTTTTCGTCTGACTGAAACATTGAAATGAATAAATTCTGTATTAGTGTTTGGACAGGTTGGTCTTTAACTTTCGCTGTTAATGTTTAATACCCCACCACGAGGGTATATGTGGCACAAGGCCGAGTTTACTGTGGGTTTCTCCTCGCCCGTAGGTTCGGTCAAAACTATTCCCTTAGAACCCACATAAACAAGTTCCGGGCCTGTCTCACCTCACCTCACCTCCTCTCTGCTCGAAGGAAAGAGTTCGACAGTTGAACAATCTGTTTAGCTTTCGGTGTTATATTTAACAGTCTCCCCCCACCACCACAAGGAATGTATGTGGCACAAGGCCGAGTTTAACGTGGGTTTCTCCGAGGCCGTAGGCTCGGCCAAAAATATCCCCTTTGAACAGGCCTAAACGGGTTCAGGGTCTGTCTACCTCCCCGGAGGAAACTTTGCCATTCGGCAAATCCTCATCCGGGTTCCTGTCTGCTCGAGGCAGAGAGTTCGACAGTTGAACAATCTGTTTACCTTTCGCTGTTAAATTCTACTTCCTACCTCTCCTAATTATATAAACAGGAACCCAGTCCACACCGGGGTTGATAAGATAGACGACCAATATCTTCGTCTGCCGAAATGAGCTATTCCTCATATGAGGTAATTTTGGATTTTATTGTTTATTAATGATATCTACATATATATATATATATATATATATATATATATATATATATATATATATATATAAAGGTTAATGGTCAGAGTTGAATCAGACCAGGAAACAGTGGTATTAAAATGTGCAAAATACACCTGTGAAAAAAATAAAATAAAAATAAAAATAACATGCAGAGCTTTTAACTTTAAAAATATGGAAGCCAGATGAATCTGCTACCCTGGTTTCAATCTTACGGTCTCCTCAGGCGATTTTTATCAAATGACCTCTTAACGCTTTATTATAATATATCGTTCATTAGTTTTTTTTTTTTTTTTAAAAAATAAAAAAATTAAGAGGTCTATTGCTAAAATAGCCTGAGGGATACTAAGATTGAAACCAAAATAACTGAATAAGACAGATCTCCTGATTTTTAAAGTCTCTCTCTCTCTCTCTCTCTCTCTCTCTCTCTCTCTCTCTCTCTCTCTCTCAGTATATATATATACATATATATATATATATATATATATATATATAATCTGTGAGGTAATCGATTCTGACCTGGCATCTCGATTTCAGTAACTATCCCATCGACTTGACGTGGCTTCCCTCTGTCTTTTCTATAAATATTTTCATGTCAACTATCCTGACGAGCTTATTTCCCTGGTGTCCCGATTACATAAATTTAAGCGTGCTACTAGATTGGCATGTAGGTCCCAACCTTTTAATGTTGAAATATCTAAATACAACCGCCACTTCTACTCCAAGAGTTTCTTTTCTCACACTTTCCACCTGTGGAACACCCTTTCATTTACTTGCTTCCCTGATAACTACAATCTTCAAAAATTTAAATGTAGCATCAATCACCATCTTCTATCTTTTTGAATCCCGTTCACCTTTTGTCCTTTCCTCAATCCTCTCTATACTCAGTCTTTTCTCTCACTTTCACTCCCTGTAACCACCTGCGTACTAGTGGCATTCCTGCCTTGCTTGAGGTGAAATGATTAATATATATATATGTATATATATAGTCATCCATAGACAGACTGTTTCGTTGTATCACAGACGTCTTAGTCAGTCAGTTATGTGCCATGGGTGATACACGCTTAGGCGATCATGTATATTTCGAAGCAGATTTTTTTCCCCGCAGTAGGTTGCTTTACTTTCTACGGTAGACTAGTTGCCATCCAAGGCTATAGAACCCAGTCTGTCCAGCTATTTGCCCATAAGCTGGGAGGATCCATTACTGCACCGCGCCTCGCTGACTGATGTCAAATCGATCAAGTTTCGATCCCGGCTTGAAGCAGTCGGATGTCTAACCACACTAATGACCTGTAATACAGCAAAACAGGCTGTCTGTGGATAACATATACATATACACACATAACACACACACACAAACATATTTTGAAATTTACTGAGTTTATAAGCACATACATTCATAATATTAGTTGCTAAGGATACAGGGAAATTCAATCGTTTTAACAAGGAGTGGTAGAGTATTCATTTTCACTGACAAATATCATATCGAAAAGAGGTTAAGACAAGGTCGAAAAATGAAACAGAACTGCGGATTTTAATTTAATTCCATATTTGAATTTGAAGTTATTAATTTCTGTTTTTGAAACACGGTAATCCCTGTGTAGCGATGGAACCATATTTTTAAATTAGTAAATTTATAATATTTATGCTCTATAGATTTGCATTGAGCACTGTTTTGTAAAAATAAAAATAATTACAGTGTAACCCGGATATAAGAGACCCGGATATAAGAGAAACCCGGATATAAGAGAGATTTTCTCTGATCCCAAATTAGGGCCTGTGTTAATGTATATAAAATAGACTAAACCCGGATATAAGAGAAACCCGGATATAAGAGACTTCTTCTCCGGTCCCGACAACTCTCTTATATCCGGGTTACACTGTAATAAGAACACCGGATTATATCTTACTGTTCTTTCCCTTTATTATTACCATTATATATATATATATATATATATATATATATATATATATATATATATATATATATGTGTGTGTGTGTGTGTGTGTGTGTGTGTGTGTGAAGAAATATAGTCTTAAGGTGTGCTATGTTTATGGGATAAAAGTGCTCCATATCAGAGATAGAGCGTGTGTAAATATATAAGTGAACATAGAAGTCAACACTTACAGGCGACAGTCTGTTTCATGCTAGACGCAATCGTCAGACCATACAGACTCAATGTCCACATTTGTCTTCGCAAAACCATTTTCAGACTCATATATATATATATATATATTTGTCTTCGTGTGTGTGTGTGTGTGTGTGTGTTTCAAAGTGTGTGTGTGTGTGTATATATATATATATGTGTGTGTGTGTGTGTGTGTGTGTGTGTGTGTGTGTGTGTGTGTGTGTGTGTGTGTGCGCGTGTGTGTGTGTGTGTGCGTGTGCGTGTGTGTGTGTGTGTGTGTGTGTGTGTGTGTGTGTGTGTGTGTGTGTGTGTGTGTGTGTGTGTGTGTGTGTGTGTGTGTGTGTGTGTGTGTGTGTGTGTGTGTGTGTGTGTGTGTGTGTGTGTGTGTGTGTGTGTGTGTGTATAATACATTGATTTTGACATAGACTTAAGTACCAGACATTGGTCCTAAGCAGAGTTCACAGATGCTAAACTGATTTTACACAAAGATTTAGAGAGCGACACTAACTAGAACACACAGCTACTACACTGATCTCAGCTAAATGTAATGGCGTAACACTTCGTACGGAGACTTGATACACAATAACCACTACTTCCACCTTCACTGCCTTCAGTAGGAGGACCTGTAGTTTCCTTTCTGTGTCGGCTATCAATACTGTATGATCTGCATATCATATATTGTTAAAATTGTGGCCAGCAGTAATAAATCCTGGTAGGACTTCTAGTTCTCTCAGAATCGCCTCACTATAAATTGAATAAATTCGGTGAGAGGAAGACACATCTCTTTCTTTTTTGGGGGGCGGGATATTTACTGAATTCATTTTCTCTCTGTATGCAGGCGGTTTGCTGACAAAATATTTCCCGGATTATTCTAAGACTCTTCCCAATCCCAATGTTAACGTAGGAGTTACAACAGTTCATTTTGACGTACCTTATCAAATGCTTTTGTATAATATATAACAATTTTATAAAGAATTTTGAATTGTTTTTTTACGTGTATAAACGTGCTGATTTTTGTATATACGGATGTTCATATACGACACTATCAGAGCGATAACTATAGTAAATTTAAAGCCAAAATTTTCTAAAATTCAATAAAACACTACACTACGGAGAATATTTTCTTAATTTTTTAAGATTACTGAATACTTAAAAGGCGCCCGCGTTATATTCTTCAATTATTCAAAAATATTTTTTTACGGCTAAAGCCCCGACAAACAACTTTAGATAAAAATTTATCTCCCATACAACTGTCACAGAGCTGTCGACATAAATAAAGTTATTGTTGTGTTAAAAAATGTATTTCTGCGATAATTTAAACTTAAATTAAATAATATTTGCTTCAGATCAGATTAATTTAATTTAAAACAGCTAATATTCCTCAAATAAAGTTTTAGAAAAGTATATTTTATTCTTGAACTTTTTTTAATAAAGAAAATTACATTTCTATAAGAGTTTTCTAAAAATGACGTTAAAGTAAAAAAAAAATTAGAAATTTCAAAACGAAAACTCCTTCCAATTAATTTAAATTTGTTTTGAAATAGAGCATAGTATTTTATTTATTGGAAATATTAAATTTAATCTCTCAGGTTGAAAATAAAATTAGAATAAAAGTTTCAAGAAGGAATTTTCGTTATTAAAAATTCATTTTACACCTTAGATATCTATGTAGGTACGTATGTAAAACACAAGTTAACATCATTTTAGCTGTGCCATATTTCTTTTTTGAAGCTCCAAGATCATAAACTGTTAACAACAAAATAGGAAGATTCGATTGGTCATTTTTTTTTTGGTCACGTGATATGGTTCCTTATGACATCCACACAGAAAATAAATTAAATGAAAATAATTTAAAAATTCGCAATTTTTTGTTTTAAAATTTTACCACATTTTTTGTTTCTTGTTTAGTTTTGTTGCTTTTTTTTTTCACTCCAGGCTTCGTTTTTCATTTTTTTTTCGTGTGTGTGTGTGTGTGTGTGTGTGCGTGTGTGTGTGTGTGTGGCTCAAGAAACCTCCTAAATTTTTTGGAATTTTATTCAAAAAATAAAGGTCATTTAAAGTAATTCTGCTTTTTAAATAAATTATGAAATGAATATTTTTCATTAATTTGAATCATGAAAAAAATGTTATAATAATTTTTACGATTTAATTATATTCTCCAGCAAGGGCAATACGGTTTGTTTGTTTTTTGTTTTCTTTTGTTTTTTTGTTTTTTGTTGTTTTTTTTAATGAGAAAAGACTGACCGCGTAGTCAAAAAGGTATTTTGAAATTTTGCTACTTTAGTTTTAATATGAGAAAAGACTGACCACGTGTTCAAAGGGGTAGTTTGAAATTTTACTACTTTTTTCTTTTGCTTTTGTTTATATTATTTTTAATGAGAAAAGACTGACCGCGTGGTCAAATGGGTAATCTGAAATTTTACTATTTTTTGTTTTTGTTTTGTTTTGTTTTTAAATGAGAAAAGACTGACCGCGTTGTCAAATGGGTAGCTTGAAATTTTACTATTTTTTGTTTTTGTTTTGTTTTTTAGATAAGAAAAGACTGACCGCGTCATCAAAAGGGTAGTTTGAAAGTTTTATTACTTTTTTTAAGATGAAATAAGACTGATCGCGAGATCAAATGCTAGTTTGAAATTTTACTACATTTTTTCTTTTTGTTTTTATTTACTTTTTTTAATGAGAAAAAGACTGACCGCGTGATCGAAAGGGTAGTTTGAAATTTTACTACTATTTTAAGATGAGAAAAGACTGACTGCGTAGTCTATTAAGTAGTTTGAAATTTTACAACTTTTTTGTTTTGTTTTTGTAATTTTTTTGTTTTTTAGATAAGAAAAGACTGACCGCATGATCAAATGGGTAATTTGAAATTTTACTGTTTTTTGTTTGTTTTTTGTTGTTTTTAATTGAGAAAAAACTGACTGCTTGATCAAATGGGTAGGCTGAAATTTTTCTACTTTTTTGCTAGATTCAGAATATAGGCAATAGAAATTTCTAGGACACGTAATAAAGAAAGAAGGTTTGGCAAATTTGGCACTCAAAGGATATACTGAAGTTAAGAACGGCAGAGGAAGACAGCGAGGACGCTTACCTAATGAGTTTGTGTAAAAAAAGTGCCAAAATGGATGACAGGACAAGGAGTGTGGGGGACAAACACTGGTTCGGACTACAAAAGATAGGACGCTGTGGAGAGCCTTGATCGATCACTTTCTAAAGGAATACAGCACATAAAAGAAGGCGATGTATGTAAAAAACTATTTAGATATTGGTATGCATAAATCGTTTGAAATATTTATTATTTATTAACATTAGGTTTTTAAAAGA